TCGGTATCAAAGTGAAGAAAGCCGTAAAGCTTCTGTGAAGACTGATACGCTACGTTCGTACTGAGCGGAGCGGAGTGATTTTCTTTCCATGAAATAAAACACTCCTACACGAGTTGATATTTTCCCACACCTTTTACCCAGCGCCCCTGCCCGCCCCCAGATTAGCAGCGGCTAACTCCGCATGAACAAGCATTCTAATATCAAGAGCCTTCATCAGATCCTCAACCCTTTCATCAGTAACCTCCTGCACTGTAGTGGCCAACTGCAACGAGGATAGCGACAATTGCGAGCAACCTAAAATGATAAAATATCAATACACTTTCAAGCAGTGTGGGAAGAGATGCACATGGTCAGCTACATATGTCGGTGACAATATGAAAATTTTGAGGAAATTTCGAGACACTGTTGTTGATTTCGGAACACTCCTACCCAAATTTGTGTGTATATCTCCATTATTAGTGAGGAAACTCCTGAGCTCAGCTGAGGCAAACGAGCATATATTCCAACACTACTTTGAAGTTTCACGTGAAGTGGCGTGACATTGTAGGTGAAAAACGTGATATAAAGTAGTAAGTTGAAAATACTTTGCGAGTTACATCGAACATTTCACGTGAAAAAAGACACTTCTAACATACGTTTTTCACAAAGGGAAATGTGAAACATGTTTTTCACTGGAGTTTCACGACCCGCTTCACGTGAAGTGGCGTAAAACTCGGTGAAAAACGCGATATTCGTGGTGATATGCAGTAGTCGTGAAATATGTTTTTTCATATCACTAGGGTGGTGAAACTCCATTAATAACAGCACTTACCAATGATCAACGCGGCCAAGCTCATCATACTTTCCTCATCACTTGATTTTAAATAGGAACTTATATGCATCTGTGGCATACGTCCTATACCACTCGCTCTGCAAATCTCCTCACCAACGCCTCTGCTTCCAAACACTCACGCAGTTTGGCAGTCATCACCCCTGGGGCGTCACTCGACGAGGCGAGCAGCAACAGTAGACGTACGAAACTGAACAACCCTTATGAATTCACTTTCACCAGTATCGAGTATTAGCGATATGAATTTTAGTGAATATTTTTCATATGAATATACTTTTTCTAGTTTGAAAGAATTGTTCGTATATGGAGCGTGCTCTTCGCGTAAGAGCATGTTCTTATAACAAGAGAGGAATGCACACCATAAACAGCTGATAGTGGTTTGTTGCCACATAAATAAGAGGAGTTGACAATGGAAAAAAAATCAAAATCATCACGTTTATCAAAAACATTTATGAATATTTTCTCAATGCTCAACATCGATGGTAACATGTTGTTTTAAGAGTAGAAGTCATATACAATATCACCAACGAAGAGAAACTGTTATAAGATTCATTTTTCCCATATTTATAACGTAATATAAGTAGAGTTTCACCACCCTAGTGATACCAAAAACACTAGTGAAAAACATATTTCACGACTACTGCATATCACCGCGAATATCGCGTTTTTCACAGAGTTTTACACCACTTCACGTAAAACTGGTGAAACTCAACTACATTAAAATTTAATACTCAGATATACCAATCTAACAATGGGGTTTCACGATCCGTTACACGTCAAGTGGCTACGTAAAACTCGGTCAAAAACGCGATATTCGCGGTGATATGCAGTAGTCGTGAAATATATATTTTTCACTAGTGTTTTTCATATCACTAGGGCGGTGAAATTCCATAATATCACTATATGAATATTCACACAAATTTGCACAAAACTCACATTTTCATTTAAAAACGCATGTACAAAAATTGAGATCAGTTCTTGCCCTCCCCCTCCCTTACGTGGCCCTGTCCATCGACGAAGTCTCCAATAGAGAGATGAGACGATTCTCAATAGCGACCACCATTTCTGCAAGGCCGAACCTACACCAACACAACTTCAATGTGAGTGATGCGAAATTCATGCGCAATTCCGTGCTATCCAAATTTTGATAAACTCAGCCATATACACATGCTATGATTAGCAATATTAAAAAAAAGTTTTCGCTCTCCTCAGCTGAGCTCAGGAGTGTCCTCAGTCACCACACATATGTATTCGATTACACGTACAGAAAAACACAAAATAAAAATCTCGCAAAACACATCTATTTACTCTCCTACTACCCGTGCACCCTCGAAACTGCTTTCATCAACGGCAAGAGCTCTCCCTCAAGACTAGCACTAGGCAGGTACTCCACCACACTTTCATGAAGTTTCACAAACTCCGAATCATACCACTGCGGTCCCCTCCCGTTTTCCCTTTCTAGTGCATTCACAAAGTCAGCAACTGGTGACACACTAGCTGTCACCATACCCCTTCGGCAAAGTCGGGGTCCGAGCGTCAACGCGGCAATTCTTCCTGACAATTTCGGTTGAAAAAGTCGCGCGATAGCTTCCATATAAGTACCCTTTCAAAAGCTGTGTGAGAGATGACAACGCAAAACAAAAAACCGAATCGCCGCGTATCATTAATTAGAGTTTCACCACCCTAGTGATATGAAAAACATATTTTACGACTACTGCATATCACC